GGCGGTTCACCAAGTGCTTGCGCGTCGGCATGCTCAAGGAAGGTACGGGGGGTGGATGGGCCCAGGGCGGGGGTTGGGGAGACAGCAAGGGGGGTTCTAGGGAAGGAACTGGGTGGGTTGGCAGGAAGAATTGGGAGGGAATTTGGGAAAGGGGAAAGAGCTGGGCAGGATTAGAGGTCTGCTGAAGGAGCAGTGGATGGTGAGCTGGGGGTCAGGTGGGGGAGGCAGGATGTGGGAGAGTCAGGCAGACATGATAATGTCCGGGGGCGGGGGTTGGGGAGACAGCAAGGGGGGTTCTAGGGAAGGAACTGGGTGGGTTGGCAGGAAGAATTGGGAGGGAATTTGGGAAAGGGGAAAGAGCTGGGCAGGATTAGAGGTCTGCTGAAGGAGCAGTGGATGGTGAGCTGGGGGTCAGGTGGGGGAGGCAGGATGTGGGAGAGTCAGGCAGACATGATAATGTCCGGGGGAACCATCAAGAGAACCTGGGGGGGAAACAGCCCCTCATTTTCTCCCCAGCTGTTATGAGGGTAGAGTGGTCTCCTTGGGAATGAGCAGGAGGGGTGGGGAAGAGGAGGGTCGTGAGGGGTGCATTCTGACTCCATCTTCTGCTTTGCCCCCTAGGGGTGCGGCTGGACCGGGTGCGAGGGGGACGCCAGAAATACAAGCGCCGCCCTGAGGTGGACGGGGCCCCATTTCCCAACACATTTGCCACTCCCCAAATTGCCACAGCAACCAGCAAGAAACCAGGTGAGTGGGGCTGGGCTGTGGGTCAGGATTAAGAGGCAGAACTGGGAGGAGAGGGGGAAGCTCAAGGCTATGGTAGCAGGGGGCTATAGGTCAGGATTGTGGGGCACAGGCAGATCTGGGAGTGGGAAGAAGGCCCATGCGATAGGGCGCTAGCGGGGGATCGAGTGCTGGGGATCTCCTCATGTTGCCCCTTTTCTGCAGCTCCCATTAACCCCATGGTGTCCCACCTCCTGGTGGCGGAGCCTGAGAAGCTGTATGCAATGCCTGACCCAGCGCTGCCTGATGGGCCCCTCCGTGCTACCAGCGCCCTGTGTGACCTTGCTGACCGTGAGATTGTCGTCATCATCGGCTGGGCCAAGAACATCCCAGGTAGGGCTTCACCTGCTCTGCAGTGTTCTTTATAGCCCCTGCTCAGCATGGCCCCTTTACTCCATTCCCATGCGATGCCCCTCCAACTCTTCCTCCCTCATCCCCAGCAGGTTTTTGTCCAGGCCTGCCCTCCCACCCCCCTCTTCCCTTCCCCCCCTACGGGTTTCCTTCCCCCTCTCAACTCCTGTCTCTCTGCAGGATTCCCAGCACTGTCACTGGCTGATCAGATGAGTGTGCTGCAGAGTGCCTGGCTGGAGGTGCTGGTGCTGGGCGTAGCCTGGCGTTCGCTCCCCTGCGAAGATGAAGTGGTCTTTGCCGAGGACTTTGCACTGGATGAGGAGGGGGCGCGTGCAGCGGGGCTGTGGGAGCTGAGCGCCGCCCTCCTACAGCTGGTGCGCAAATACCGTGCGCTGCGGCTGGAGCGTGAGGAATACGTGCTGCTCAAGGCCCTGGCACTTGCCAACTCAGGTGGGTCTTGCCTTATGAAGGGTTGGGGGGG